TGGCTTTTGCCAGATATATTTATTACTAATATTGTTTCTCAATCTTGGACTTTTCATTTTCTTAAAGGCATTTTTCAATAAACAGCTTTTAATTTTGATGAAGTGTGATTTTCCAGTTTGTTTATGGTTGTTATTTCTGGTGTTCTGAGAGCTCTTGCCTATCCCAGGGTCACAAAAAGGTAGTCTATATTTTCTTCAGAAGCTTTATGATTCCAGCTGCACATTTAGGGTTAGGACCCACCTCCAGCGTGTTTGTGAATGGTGTGAGTGAGACTAGAGGCTCTGTTTTCCCACATGGTTATCTTGTTGGTCCACACCATTTGTGGCAGAATTTCCTTCCCTATTGTGTGGCTGTGGCATCAGTGTCAAACACCAAATCACTCTCCAGGTGTGAGTCTGCGTCTGGGCTGTGTCATGTTCCACTGAGGTGGGTGTTCTCCCCTTGGCGACACCACCGCGTTGTCTCAGTTGCTGTAGCTTTACGGTGAATCTCGACCTCAGGCGGTGTAATTCCTTCAATTGTTTTTTTCAAAATTGTTTTGGCTATTCTAGGTCCTTTGCATTTTCCTGTAAATTTGAGAATCAGCTAAGTATTTTATGGGATTTTTTTGCTATTGTAAATGGTATTTTTATTTATTTTATTTTATTTTATTTTATTTATTTTTTATTTCTCTCTCTTTTTTTTTAAAGATTTTATTTTTTCCTTTTTCTCCCCAAAGCCCCCTAGTACATAGTTGTACATTCTTCGTTGTGGGTCCTTCTAGTTGTGGCATGTGGGACGCTGCCTCAGCATGGTTTGATGAACAGCGCCATGTCCGTGCCCAGGATTCGAACCAACGAAACACTGGGCCGCCTGCAGCGGAAAGGGTGAACTTAACCACTCAGCCACGGGGCCAGCCCTGTAAATGGTATTTTTAAAATTTCACTTTCAAATTATTTGTTGCCAATATATAGTAATACAATTGATATTGGTAAATTGATCTAATGTCCTACAACCTTGCTAAATTCACTTAATCTAGGAGCTTTTGTGTAGATTATTTTTGGATTTTCTCTATATACAGTTATGTCTTCTGAGAATAAAGACAATATTTTTTCTTTCTTCCCAAAATATATATGTATGCCTTTTGTTTCTTTTTTTTGCCTTATTGCACCAGTTAGAGATTCCAGTACGAGGGTGAATACAAGTGGGGAGTGTAGACACCCTGTCTGTCCCCGGAGTTGAGGAAAAGCACTGTTTCATCATTGAGCTTGATTTCAGCTGTCGGTTTCTGTAGATGCCCTTAATCAGACTGAGGAGGTTTCCAGCTATTCTTAGTTCACTGAGTTTTTACCCTGAATGGTTGTTTTTGTGGATCTGTTGAGATGAATGTAATTTTTCCCCTTTAGTCTGTTAATGTGGTGAATTGCATTGATTGATTTTTAAATAAAAACTAACGTGAATTCTTGGGATAGACTCATTGCTTGTGGTGTGTTGCTGGGTTCCCTTTGAATCTGAGTGAGAATGGACTGCACTTGTCCTTTGAAGTGCATGCAGGTTGGTTTTCTGGCTTCAAAATCAAGTTGGGAAGTGCTGCTCCTTTTCCTGTTCTCTGGAAAATTTTATGTAAAATTTGTGTTATTATTCCTTGTATCTTTAGCAGAATTCACTAGTAAAACTGTCTGGGCATGAAATTTTCTTTGTGAGCATTTAAAAATTAAAAATTCAGTCATTTAGGTAGTTATAATACTATTCAGATTTTCTATTTCTTGTGTGTTCTAGGAATGTGTCCATTTCATCTGCATCTTCCTACCAATGGCATGAAGTTCACACAGCTTCTTACCTTTTTAACTGGAGTATCTGTACAGATGTTCTCTTTTTCATTGCCAATGTTAGTTATTGATACCGTCTCTCTCTTTTCCCTTTTCTTGATCAGTCTTACCAGCAGGTATCAATTGAATTAGTCCTTTGAAACCACCAACGTTTAGCTTTTTGAATCCTATTATATGTTTCTTTTCTGGTTTGTTAATTTCTGCTCTTAATTTTATTCTCTTTGATTCAAGTTTTTCTTCTTTTTCTAACTTATGGGCCAGCAGACATTATCTGTGAAGGGCCCACTGGTAAGTCTGTGGCCTCTGCCGTGACCACAGGGGATGGGGAGGCAGCTGTGTCTGTGCTGCACCTTTGAAGTGATAGATCTTTTTGTTCTCAGGCCGGTTTAAAGGTTTTTTCTGTCTTGGGTTTTCAACAATGTACGCATGGTTTTCTTTTGAATTATGCTTAGAGTTTATAATGCTTCTTGAATCTAAGGCCTGATGTCAATTATCAGTTCTAAAAAACTCCAAACTATCATCTCTTCAGATATTACTTCTGTTTCATCTCTTTCTGGGCTCCAATTATATGTGGGTCAGACCGCTTCACCAGCTCCCATATGTTTTCTAAACTCTTTTATGTTGTTTTTTTGGTGTGTAAGGAAGACTCGCCCTGAGCTAACATCTGTTGCCAGTCTTCCTCTTTTTGTCTGAGGAAGATTGTCCCTGAGCTGACATCTGTGCCCATCTTCCTCTACGTTGTATGTGGGACGTCGCCACAGCATGGCTTGACAAGTGGTATGTAGGACTATGCCTGGGATCTGAACCTGTGGACCCTGGGCCATTGAAGGGAGCACGTGAACCTAACCACTATGCGACAAGGCCAGCCCCTCTTTTACATATTTTTTAAAGAATATTATTTTACATATTCCATCCTTTTGATGTTCTATGATTCAATGACTATTTCCTTCTGACCTATCTTTATTTTACCATTTCTATCTTTGGCTGTATGTAGTCTGCTTTAAGCCCATTCACTGAGTACTTCATTTCAATTATTGTTTCTCACTTCTAAAGTTCCCAGTTGGTTCTGTTTTATAGTTTCCAATTCTATACCAAAATTATCAGTTTTGTCTTTAATTTCTTGAACTTTTTCTTTTAGGCTTATCCCTGAGTGCACATTTAAACTTTTTGTGGTGATATTATATATTTTTTATTGTGTTAAAATATACATACTAGAAAATTCACCATTTTAACTATTTGTGAGTATGCAATTTAGTGGCATTGAGTATATTTACAGTGTTTTGAAAACATCACTACTATTCATTTCCAGAACTTTTTCATCTTCCCACACTGAAACTGCATACCCATGAAGCCATAACCTCCCAGCCCCAGCACCCACCTTCCACTTTCTCCAGGTCCCTCATGTGAGTGGAATCCTGCAGTATTTGTCCTTTTGTGACTGCCTCATTTCACTTCACACAGTGTCCTCAGGAATCATCCATGTTGTAGCACGTGTCTGGATTCCCTTCCTCTCGAGGCTGCACAGCATTCCTGCATGTGTGTCTGCTGCTCTTTGTTTACTCAGTCATCCGTCGAGGGGCACTCAGGCTGCTTTCATCTTTTGGCTCCTTGAACTTTTTACGCACAGTCATTTTAAAGCCTGCCTCTGACATCTCTGTTGTCTGGCTCCCTCTGGGTCCACTTCTATTGTCTGTCTTTTCTCCAGGCTTGTGGTTACATGGTATTTTCTCCTCATGTGATTGGTAGTTTTTGGTTGAGAGGTAGACATCACATGAAAAATGGAAGCAGTAGTTTGAGGCTCAGAGTGTCACTCTAGTCAGATGCTGGCTCTCTTGTCCCTGGGGGGCTCATCTGTGTCCCGCCCACCCTGATGCCTGGGTCACTGCCTTAGGGCATTCACCAGGACCCCGCTTTCCAGTGGCCTTGACTCATCTCCCCCACCCCTCCTGAGTCCATCCAAAGCCTGTTCAGCTTCACAGCCTCTCAGACCCCGGTGGGTAGAGGAGGCCGAGTGCTGACATCTAAACAGTGTCCGCAGTCCCTCTCGAAGTCAGTGTCCTCGCCCTATTTTCTGTGACTCGTGCAAGAGTCAGGCACTGAGGAGGGAGTGGGTGGAACACGACGGCCATCTCTGCTGCGGCACAGCAGGTGCTGGTCCTGGGGGCAGTGCTCACTTCCTGCTCTGTGCTCCTGGTTGGTGTAGAGGCTGTGCCCAGGTGGGCATCATCCGGGCCCTGGTGGAGTGCGGTATCCCCGTGGACATGGTCGGAGGGACGTCCATTGGGGCCTTCATGGGTGCCCTGTACTCTGAGGAGCGGAGCTGCAGCCAGATGCGGATCCGGGCCAAGCAGTGGGCCGAGGTAAGGGGCCTCCGCCCTCTCATGTGCACTGCCAGGTCCCTGTGGTGCCGTGGGGGCAGGAGGACATTGGGACTGCTAGCTCCTGCACACAGCTCTGCAGGGCTCTGGCCTCAGAACGTGACTTGAGGAGTGGAGGAGCACAAAGGAAGTAGGAACATCAGTGTTGGGGGGCTGGCTCTGGTTGGTGCCTGGTCTTAATTCATAAAAGTGAGGGCAACACAGAGAGGTCAGCGCCACTGAAAGAAAACTTTCCTGTTATCCACAGTTCCCCCAGAAATGAGAGGCCCTGCCCACCCCCTAGGTACCCCAGGGGAGTACCAGTGCGTGGCAGGAGGCAGAGGGGGCGAGGGGAAGGCCTAGGCCAGAGCCTTCATTGGGGTTTCTGCGGGAAGTGCAAGGCAGGGCAGGTACACAGTTTAAGATTGGTCGTGTGAATAATTCCTGCGGGCTTGGAGCATAGGGGCTGTCCCCAGTTGCCTGGTACCTGACCCCGGGTTGATTTAGGCAGGGGAATAGTGGCTTGGTGTGAGTTTGATAGAGGAGGTGGTCGGGGCTGTGGTTTCTGGATTGGTTGGTCTGCATGAAAGACACGCCCAGGGGCAAGCCCTCTGCTGACTCTTAAGCACTGGCTAGCCCTGGGAGCGCGGTGTGTCCCCGGTCTGTAAGACCCCAAATGCCAGAAAATCAGGACTATGGAAAGTAAGAAAATATAGGTCTTCCTCACTTATGAGGGGGTGATGTCCCAATAAACCCATTGTAAGTTGAAACTATCATATGTCAAAAGTGCATTTAATACACCCAACCTATCAAGTATCATGGCTTAGCCTGGCTTACTTTAACTGTGCTCAGAACACTCACATTAGCTTACAGTTGGGCACAATTGTCTCACACAATGCCTGTCTTATAATAAAGTGTTGGCTGTCCCATGTAATGTACTGAATCCTGTCCTGAAAGCGAAGCAGAGTGGCTGTCTGGGTCCAGTGTGGCTGTCAGGGTCTCGGCTGTTCCCCCTCGTGATCAGGGCTGAGAGGAGCTGTGCTCCCCACTGCTGCCCCGCATCATGAGGGAGGATTGCACTGCACATTGCTGGCCCAGGAAGAGATCAAAATGCAAACTCGGAAGCACAGTTTCTACCGAATGCGTATCCCGTTCGCATATCCTCGTAAAGGCAGAAGATCACGAGCGGAGCCGTCGAGTCGAGGACCATCTGTATAATTAACACAGTTGGCCCTATGATGAATGAAGGCCAGCAGACAGATCCAAAGTCTGAGAAGCTGCGTCTGGACCACTCCCATGGACAGAGCGGAGCATGTAGGCTGTCTGCCTTTCCCAGGGCTCTCCTGCTTGTTTTCGTGGAATAGAGTGGAGCCCGGGCTGAAACTCTGAGTGACATCGAAAGCGTCTGCATTCTCCTTTTAAAAAGAAAAGGAAATTGGTTGTTATCTGTGGTAGAAGCTGTCAGGGCAGGCTGTCTGCTCTGTCCACGTGGTCCCGAGGACACTGCTCCAGAGACGATGCCTTCCCTGAGATGACCCGCCCCGGTCACCCCTCAGTGGGTTGCTCCAAGGAGGGGTCCAGAGGCTGTGCAGCACAAGTCACTAAGGACAGCCTTTGAGAACAGTGGCTTCAGGGGACAGTGTGCTCTAGGCCCACCGAGGGCCTGGTCAGAGGCCGGCTGGCTGCCTCCTTCCCGACCCCTGCCAGTATGGTGCAGGTGTGGGAACGGTCAGGGAGCTTAGGCCTGATGCCCCAAAGCTGAACTGTGGGAGCCCACCGGTGGCCACCCTACAGGGCAGACAGGATGGAATTCTGGCTCTGCCTGTCTGCACGGGCCTGTGCCCCCTGCCAAGCTGAGGGGATAGGGTGGTTGTGGGGGCCACCAGGCTCAGCTCTGCTCTGAACCCCTCTGGTGCTGGGCAGGGGATTCCTCTGGAGTGAGGGCCTTGCTGACTGTGGAGGGCCCTGGGGATGTCCCATGCTGGCCTGGGTCCTTGTCCTCCAGGAGCATGTGTGTTCCCTCTGCTCCTTCCAAAGCAGGATTTTCATGTCAGTGAGAGCCCATAGAGGGAGGGGAACTCACCCCCAGCTGGGGGCCCACCCCATGTTCAGCCCATGCTCCGGGCTTTTCCATCCCAGCTTCTGTCCACACAGAGGCAGGGAGGACCCTTTCTCTCCATCCCTGACCCCTAAGGAGTGAGGTGGCCCTGAGCCCGGGCATTCCTGGACGATGCCCTGGGGAAGGCCAGCGCTGCCCGCCCAGTCGCAGGTCCTGCTCCTCTCAGGGCTAACTGGCCTCCGTCCTCATTGAGGAAGGACGGACCTGGTCCCACCGGAGAGAGAGTGGGGCCCTCTGCAGAGCCGCTGCTCCCCAGGACCCTGACAGAGTGTCCACCGTGATGGAGCATGAGGGCCAACCCCGAGCATGCCAGGGTGGGGCAGCTTCCCCTCCTAAGAAATCTTCGTGGGTATCGTAGCTCTCAGGGACCTCAGCGGGCCAAGACAGCGGTCCTCTTTGCCACTCGCCCACCCGGTGCTGGTCCTGGACTAGGCCTTGTCCCAGCCTCACCTTGCGCTCTCCTCGCTGAGCAGGCAGCAGGACTAGGCTGGCCGGGCCTGCTGGGGGCCAGTGGGTGTCCCTGTGGGAATTCCAGGTCCTGCCACCCAGGCCACAGCATTTGCTCCCCCAGAGATCCCTGCAGGGTGCTGCCCCACCCACAGGATACTTCCCGATGCCCTTGTTGTGTTCGCGGTGGTGCTCTGTCTGTGCCTGCAGGTGGGGGTGTGAGCCCTTCCTCCTCTCCAGGGACCTCATGTGTGCCCTGCCCACTCAGGGTATGACGTCTGTGGTGAGGACCATGCTGGACCTGACCTACCCCATCACCTCCATGTTCTCGGGAGCCGGCTTCAACAACAGCATCTGTAGCGTCTTCAAGGACCGGCAGATCGAGGTGTCCCCGCTGGGCAGGGACCACCCCGGGGAGCCCCAGCATGGCCTGTGACTGGATGCTTGGCTCCTTCCTCATCCCTCCACCCCCTAGGCTCTCAGGGTTGGGGGCTGGCAGCAGGGCAGGATAGCCCCACTGAGCCCTGCCTCCCGTCACAGGACCTGTGGATCCCCTACTTCACCATCACCACAGACATCACTGCCTCAGCCATGCGGGTCCACACAGATGGTGAGAGCCTCCTCCTGGGAAGCGGGGCTCCCTTGACATGGGGCCATGCATGCACAGGGCATAGCCCACTCAGGGCAGGGTGGCTCCAGGGGAGGGCTTTGAAGCACCAGTTTGAGGCAAGGGCAGGAAGAGAGCCTGGTGGCTCCATGAGCCTGGGGAAGCTTCAGATCACCCAAAGGAGGCCAGAGGCTCAGGGAGACCGAACACAGACGTGACCCTGCCATGGGCATGAGGATGGGGGTATGGGGACATAGCCTGGAGTCTGGAGACCCCATAGGCCAGCAGGGCACAAAAAGAGGTGGAGACGACCATGTGAACTGAGTGGGGAGAGGACTAGAAAGAAAGGCACCCTCAGGACATGGGTGCAGACGAAGGGCACACTCACGTTGTGGGTGCAGATGAATGGCACACTCAGGTCGTGGGTGCAGATGAAGGACACACTCAGGACGTGCGTGCAGACGAAGGGCACACTCAGGACGTGCGTGCAGACGAACAGCACACTCAGGTCGTGGGTGCAGACGAAGGGCACACTCAGGACATGGGTGCAGATGAAAGGCACACACAGGACATGGGTGTAGACAAACGGCATACTCAGGATGTGCATGCAGATGAAGGGCACAGTCAGGATGTGGGTGCAGACAAAGGGCACACTCAGATCGTGGGTGCAGATGAAGGGCATGCTCAGGTCATGGTGCTTGTGGTTAGCATAGGCAGCTGGTGGCACTACTAGGATGGGCACAGTGAATCCCTGGGTGGGCAGCTGAGGGCCCTTTCTCAGGCAGAGTGTTTTGGGAGCTGCTGGTTGTGTCTCCTCAGAGGGTGAGCACGGGGCATGTTGGCTGAAGGCTGTGGCACACATCAGCTTGGAGCCTGGCACATTGGAATGTGTTGAGATCGCAGAGCAAGCCTGGCCTTCCTTGGGCCTCCTGTCCCTCCTGTGCTCTGTCCATAGAGAGCCTCCCTCAGGGAGGGTGATGTTCAGGAGTGTGTCCATCTGCCCAGACCTGGTGCCCTCCACCAGAGGGCAGACACTCAGGCTTCATTCATTACCCCACACAGGCGAGGCTCTGAGCCAAGGGTCCACAGCAGGCACCCACCGTGGGTGGCAAAAGGCTCCTCTCCTGCCCCTTGGCTGGGTCCAGCAACCATTCCCCCTGACCCCTCTCGACTTCCTTTTAGGCTCCCTGTGGAGGTATGTGCGTGCAAGCATGTCCCTGTCAGGGTACATGCCCCCCCTCTGCGACCCCAAAGATGGACACCTGCTGATGGACGGTGGCTACATCAACAACCTCCCAGGTACTGCAGTGAGTGGGGAGGGACCGCCCTGGCCCCTGCCTCAGCCACCTCCACTCCTGGGAAGGCCAGTGGTACACGTTTTCCTCAGAGTGTGCCAAGGGGAAATGACAGGCTTGCACGGAGCACAGAGAACATGCACACACACAGATGCACGCCCGCGCACATGCTCGGGCACTGTGTGCTCCCAGCATATGGCTGTGTTTGTCAGCTCAGCAGCGCTCAGAACAAGGGCCAAGTAGCAGAGCTGGGAGCAATTACGTCCAGTCTGTGCCCACAGTCGGAACTAACAGCCTGCAGGTGTTGGGTTTGCTGTCTGGGGAGGCCCCTCCCTTGGGCGCACCTGTCACCTGTTGGACAGTTCTGTACACTCAGCTTCCCACCTCTATAGGCCCTGGTGTGACATGGAGAGGAGACCCTGTCGGTCAGGGCCTCTTGGGCAGGCTCTGTCCCCATCTGCCTTGCTCTGCCCCATTCCCCCAGCTCTGCCCCCATACCCCCAGCTCTGCTCCCACCTGGGACTCTGGTTACCTGTCCCAGCTGGTGACCAGGGCTGCCTCCTCCCCAGCGGATGTGGCCAGGTCGATGGGGGCAAAGGTCGTGATTGCCATTGACGTGGGCAGCCAGGACGAGGTGGACCTGACCAACTATGGCGATGCACTGTCTGGGTGGTGGCTGCTGTGGAAGCGCTGGAACCCCTTGGCCACGAAAGTCAAGGTGGGGCACACCCCTGTGCAATGCCCAGGCAGCGGTGCTCCTCTGCAGCTTCTTGCAGCCCCCTCACACTCTTGTGCCCGTGTCCCTGAGAAGGGGCAGTGCAGTGCCTCCTGGGTGCGGGGGCGGGGGGGTGCCTTCCAGGGAGCTGCTGTCACTCGCTCACCATCCCTGCCCAGCTGGGACCAGCTCTGGGGAAGGGGGACAGCCCTAAAGGCTCCACAGCTCCTCCGGACACATTTTAGGACCCCTCCTGAGTGCCTGCGTTGCCCCCAGGCCTGGTGGAGCTGTGTCTCTCTTGGGGGTGGGGAGGGGAGGGAGGCGACCAGGGCACGAGACACAGGTGGCTGTGCTCTCATGGGGCCCATGGGCCGTGTGGGCACCGGAGAGCATTGCTCAGCAAGCTGTGATGGCGGCAGGTGTTGAACATGGCAGAGATCCAGACGCGCCTGGCCTATGTGTGCTGCGTCCGGCAGCTGGAGATGGTGAAGAGCAGCGACTACTGCGAGTGCCTGCGCCCGCCCATTGACCGCTACCGCACCCTGGACTTTGGCAAATTCGATGAGATCTGTGTGAGTGTTGCTGGGGGCGCAGGGCCACAGGGCCCTCCCCAGCCCCCCACCCTCCCTTCTGAGGACACAGCAGGGGGGCTCTGGCCACCGGTCACGGGGTCCCCGGTGTGTGTGCAGGAAGTGGGGTACCAGCACGGGCGGACGGTGTTTGACATCTGGGGTCGAAGTGGTGTGCTGGAGAAGATGCTACAGGACCGGCAGGGGACGAGCAGGATGAAGGCCTGCGATGTGAGTGCCCAAGCTGATGCCCGCTCCTCCCTTCCTCCCTCCTGTGAGGGCTGGCCCTCCTGTGACCTGTCCTCTGCCCACTGGAGGTGCAGGGCTCCCTGCAGCCAGCAGCACCTCAGCTGCTTAGGCCTGCAGAGATGCCCCCCCAGGAGCCAGAAGAAGAGGGCAGGGCAGCAGCCCTGGGGGGGCTGTCTCCTGGCCTCTGCCCTGGTATCCCCTCTCTTTGCCCCCCTCTGGCTCTCCACCCTAGTAGTGCTTGTGGTGGGAGAGGATGGTGGTCTGGATGGGGGTCTGCTCAGGACTCTGCCCATCCTCCATGCACCCACCCCCCTCCAGGGGCTCCAGTACCTCAACAGGCTAGGGCCACAGAGGGTGGCAGAGAGAGTGGGGCTGGGGTCCTGGCGGGGCAGCCAGGGCCTGTGATCCTGAGGGCGTGGGGTGTAGTGGCTTTGGCCAGATGTCTTCTCCACCCTGGCCCTCCAGGCTCTTACCTGCCCCAATGCCTCCTTCACGGATCTTGCCGAGATTGTGTCACGAATCGAGCCTGCCAAGGTGGCTGCAGTGGATGGTGAGTTGGATTCCTGGGATGTGTCTCTGCACAACTGAGGACGGTGGTGGCAGCATCCATTCCTTACCCTTGACACATTGAATGAGCCACCCTGGCCACCAGGCTCCCTCTAGCAGCCTCTGGACCTAGTTGGCAGTGCAACAGGACCCATGCCACTGTGGGAGTCTGTGGCCATGTCCTGCTCTGAGCTCCAGTGGTGCCTGGCATGGCCCCTGCCCTCAGGAGAGGATCAACACAGCCCCTTTCTGCCCAGACGAATCTGACTACCAGACTGAGTACGAGGAGGAGCTGCTCGAGGGCCCCCAGGATGCATACGCCGACTTCCAGTGCGCCCCGGCTGACTCAGGCTCTGACTCGGTGAGCTGCCGGCCCTGCCCTGTGCCCTTTGGCTAAGCCGGCTCTGAGGGCCCCAAGCAGGTGGGCTGCTCTCTCCCAGCTGCCCTGCAGCCCAGGGCCAGAGAACCCCAACCCAGGGTCAGCCCTCTGGGGTCACCCCCACCTTACTGTGTTTACTTCCAGGAGGATGAGCCCTCACTTCAGCATCAGGACCCCAGTCTGGCTTCTGCAAAACTGTCCCGGGACTCCTCATCCCTCTGTCTGTCTGACCAAGATGGGTAGCAATCTCTGCTCAGATCTCTGCTCTGATGTGCCCTGAAGCCAGTATCCCCTGTGGGCCTGTCGCAGAGACCTTGGCTCCTGCAGCTCCTGAGGGCTCTTCCCTGGCCCACCAGGGAGACCCAGCTGGGACCCAGGGCCCTGCCCAGTGGTGCATCCAGCTTCTCCCATGCTGGGGCCCAGCGCTGTGTTGGGGTGTCTCAGGCCTCTCTGCACTGGCAGCTCCCAGTGGAGCGCTCGGTCCTGGCACCCTGTGCACACAGCAGCCCTGGGGGCCCATGCTAGCCCCCGTGAGGCCACCCAGAGATGTTGGAGCCCTTAGTGCTTCCGCTTGGCAGTCAATAAAGGCAGATCTGACTGTGTGGGCCGTGTGGGCCGTGTGGGCCGTGTGGTCCCTGCGCTCCCTGCGCCAAAGTCCCGCGAAGATGGCCAAAGTCCAAACACGAAGATGCACCCAAGGATCCGGGCTGTGGGGCCGCATCCCTGAGGCCATGGTGGGCGGGGCGTTGCCTGCCCTCCTACAAGGTCACCGCGGGGGCAGGAGGGCACCCGGGGCTGGGATGGAGCTGATTCTTCCACACCAAGGATGAGCCCGGCCCGATCTCTCAGGTGGCGTTTCCCCCAGTGCACACAAGACGCTCCCCTGGGACGTGAGACGCCCACACTTTCTTTCTCAGACCCTTAAATGGCACCCGGGGAGGGAGGACTGCCGGCCTGTGAGTCTGAGATCCGCGATGCCTGCAGGTCTCAGAGCAGGGAGGTGGGCCTGTGAGGGCTGGGGAGGCCCTGACCCGAGGGCCAGGCACCCTGCGGCCGGGTTACCGCCTCCCTCAGTTTCCCCGTTCGGGAGACGGGTGAAAGAGCAGAGCCGGGTGGTCCTGCCTCTGTCGCCTAGCCCCGCCCCCCTCCATGACGTCATTATGGGCGGAGCTCATGGGCCCGCGGAGTCGCGATGGGCGGTCCTGCCGAGCCCCGCCCCAGCCCTGACGTCACCGCGGGCGGTCCCTCCACGCCCCGCCCCTGCCCTGACGTCACGGTGGGCGGAGCGCCACCCCCGGTGCCGGCCGCACTCTCCTGGTGCTGCGGGACGCGGAGCGCCCGGCGAGGCCATGCAGGTTCCGGGCCCGAGCCCGAGCCCAAGCCCGAGCCCGAGCCCGAGCCCGAGGCCCGACGCAGCGCAGCTCCCCCGGCGGAGGCGGCGGGCGCGGGGCGCGCTCTGAGGCTGGGGGATGCGCCGCCGCCCCGACCATGGGCGCCGCCGCCTCCCGGAGGAGGGCGCTGAGGAGCGAGGCCATGTCCTCAGTGGCGGCCAAAGTGCGGTGAGTGCGGCCACCGGGCTCAGCGCCCCCGCCCCCTCGGCGTGTCCCGCGCGCCCTTCCCCCGAAACGGGTGCCCGCGCGTCGCCTCCCCAGGGCCCCGCCTGTGTGCGCCCTCCCGAGACTGCAGTGGGCGCGTCGCGCGACCTCACGACCCACGACCCCACATCGGGTGGCGGGGGCTGGACAGAGGAGACCAGGGCCGGGCCAGCAGGTCCAGACGAGGTGCCCCTGGACCCGAGGGTCCCGGAACTGCAACCCGCTCTTCCTGGGCTTTCCCGGTGGAAGGGGTGCCTCGGTGGTGACCCCCGATCCCTCCCTTGCTGGTGCCGAGGGCCCAGGTGTGGGTGGGCTCCTGCGGTAGGAGTGGCGGGGTGGGCCTGTGTGCCCTGATGGCGCACCCCGCTGTCCACCTGCAGAGCAGCCCGAGCGTTTGGCGAGTACCTGTCCCAGAGTCACCCTGAGAACCGGAATGGTGCAGGTAGGGCACGTGAGGTGGTGCCATGGTGGGTCCTCCACAGCCCCCCAACCTAGGGGAGGCTGTCCCTCCGTCAGGCCAGGCCGTGGGGACTATCGGGTGTGAGCTGTGGCAGCTGCCCTGCTGGGCTGGCTTCCTCACGCCCCCTGCCCTCCCTGGCCCAGAGCCCCAGGAGGAGCTCCGAGTCACTCATCACCATGGCACCCACCCAGCCTGGGCCGTTGGCATGGCAACAGGCCTCTTGGCACCCCCAGGGCTGGCACCACTGTGTCTGGGGGCCAGCTGGTGGGGGGGAGGGGAGAAGTTGGCACTGGGCACACGGGTGCAGTGACAGGCTGGGAGGTGGCCTGCTTGTTCCTGCCCTCCCAGATCACCCACAGGTAGCAGAGCCTGTCGCCCCCGCCATGCATGCACGCACGCACGCGCGCGCGCGCGCGCGCGCACACACACACACACACACACACACACACACACACACACACACGAGGGGTCTGGGGCCCAGACAGGAGGGAAACAGGAGCCTGTAGGAGGAGTGTGTAGCTCGGAACCACCTTTCTGAAGACATAAGAGACTTCATTTGGGTTTGGTCAGTAGGGCTTGGGGGTAGCCCCACCCTGCGTATCCAGGCTAGGCACCTGCTGGGTGTTTCTTGCTCTCAGAGCACTGGGAGACTGGAAGGGCAGGACCGGCAGGCTGCAAGCTCCCTGTGCCTCTCCCCCAGACCACTTGCTAGCTGATGCCTACTCTGGCCACGACGGGTCCCCTGAGATGCAGCCAGCCCCTCAGAACAAGCGCCGCCTCTCCCTGGTTTCCAATGGCCGCTATGAGGGCAGCCTCTCGGAGGAGGCGGTCAGCAGGAAGCCGGCTGGTGAGGGCCCCCAACCCCGTGTGTACACCATCTCCGGGGAGCCAGCCCTGCTGCCCAGCCCAGACGCCGAGGCCATCGAGCTGGCTGTAGTGAAGGGGCAGCGGCAGCAGGAGGGGCACCCCCACCACCACAGCCAGTCCCTGCGTGCCAGCCCGGGCAGCAGCCGGGAGGACGTCAGCACGCCCTGCCAGAGCTGGGCAGGCAGCCGCCAGGGCTCCAAGGAATGTCCTGGATGCGCCCAGCTGGCCCCTGGCCCCAGCCCCTCCCTTCGGACTTTTGGGCTGGACCAGCCACCTCTGCCTGAGGCCACCAGCCGCCGCAAGAAGCTGGAGAGGATGTACAGCGTTGACCGTGTGTCTGGTGAGGGGGCTCGTTGTGGGCATGGGCAGCCTCAGGCAGGGTGCTGGTGTCTATGAGCAGCAACCGCTGTGAGGCTTGGACAGGTAGATGGGCCCAGGTCACGGCATGCAAGTAGAGTCCTGCTTCCACATCCCACGCCCCATGTCAGGCCTTATGGTTGGCTTTGTCCTTGGCAGCACTGAGTCAATCGAGGAATGCTTCCTGGAGGAGGGGGCTTGGGAGGATCTTGAGGGTTGACCAGGCCAAAAATATGGCTTAATTGGAAGATCAGGCTGCCTTCAGGGAGTCCTAGGGAACAGTCCTTGCCCCAGGACCCACCCAGTGGGGCTCCCACTCACCTCAGGAGGTACATAACTGTCTGGGCCCTGTCCAGCCAACGGGCCCCTCCCCAGGATTGTTGAGCCGTGCAGGTGTCTGGGGAGCCCTGGAGGCCTTCTGTGTCTGGAAGAGGCCTCCCTGGGACCCCCTGCCTCCTGGTTCTGAGGTCACCTCCTGAAGAACAGAGTTCTAACTAGCTGAGCCACAGTGTCCTTCCAGGATACTTCCTGGGCCTCCAAGTCAGCAACCCACCTGGGCATCAGGGCACAGGCCTGGGGTGTGGGCAGCTCACCTCCATGACCTGTTGCTCCTCTGATAGACGCAAGCAAGGGGATGGGACGGGAGTCAGGGTGAGAGAGTAGAGCTCTAGAATGTGGGATGGGGCACTCAGTAAGGTGGTCTCCACACTTGGCGAGGCTTCCACCTCACCCTTCTGGGAGGGCCCAGGGCAGGGGAGATCTGGCCAAGCGGACGCCAGAGCATCTGTCTGCAGAGAAGGCCCAGAGCCCCCAGGAGAGGCTGCAGCCGTTGTCCCTGCCCTGCCCCCTGACCAAAGGGAGACAGTGAGTCCCTTCCGCAAGCAGCCTGGAGACGGCTGTGCTCTCAAAGAAACACTCCTCAGCTGTGGCAGCCAAAGGGAGAGCTAGGCAGACGGTCAAAGTGTCAGCAGCCACTGAGCTATCTCGGCTTGAACAGCCAAGCAGCTGCACGTTGCCGTGAGGCCCTGCACCCGCCTCCTCCCTCCTGGAAGAGGGCTGGGGGACCCTGGCCCCTCTCCTCCTGGGGCTGCGGCAGACAGCCCGACAGGTGGGTGGGAAGGCTCAGGAGCCCCCAGGCCACCACAGTCACTGCTCCTTTCGTCTCTTCCAGATGACGTCCCCATCCGCACCTGGTTCCCCAAGGAGACCCTCTTCAGCTTCCACACGGCTACCACAACTATGCAAGCGTGAGTCGCATGCCTGATGCGTGCCCACCGTGCGGGGCCCGGGCCGGGGGACCTCCTGCTGGCGCTCAGGAACTACTGCTGGACCCTCTCCCGCCCTCTGAGCCCCCTGAGTCACTGCTTCTGAGCAGCCCCATGTGCCCGTATTCCACCAGGTCTGCAGGAAGTGATGTCGGTCTGGAGGGAGGCCGGTCTGGCTGCTCTCCCCCGGCTCCCACGGCCCCCTGCCCCAAGCCCTCCATTCTCCACTGCCCTGCCCCGACTCCTGCCCCCACAGTCCCTCCAAGCTGTCCATCCTGTCCTCGGGGGACCTGGCCCAGGGCTGCAGCTGATGCAGTCGCCCCTGGCCACTGCCCTACCTCAGCCCCTGTGACCCGACTCTGCCCTCACACATGCCCCAAACAGCAGCCTCCTTGTGCTTCCTGTGCACCTCACGTGACCACAGCTTAGAGGTCCCCTGGGGGTCTGCTCTTCTTTACCTTCCACACACATCTGGGTGTTCTCTCATGGGGTTCCTTCCAAGGAGGCACCCTTTGTTACAGTGTCCCCCACACCAAAGAAGCTCTATCCCCACATGCTACCCCGGGGAGCCTACCGCTGCCCTCGGGCTAGCTGGGGCCACCATCTTTGCTGCCTAAGGCCAGCAGGGCACAGTCAGACCTCTGTGCCGGGCTGACCAGGTCACAGCATCTGGAGGCATGGGCTGTGGTTACCTCAGCGTCCACTGCCCTTTCAGGGGGTGAGGGACCCTCCAAGTCAGTGACAGGAAGGGAATTAACTGCAGGGGGCTTGGGGGCTGAGGGGTCACGGCTTACTGTATCTTCTCTCTCCCGCTGCCCCTTCCCGCCACGACTCCAGCATCTCGTAAGTACCCTGTGGGACCTTGAGCCTGAGGGCACGGCGGTTGTCCCTGGGGGGGCCCTCCCACCCCAAATAGGTTTGGGCAGGCCAGGGACCTGGGCCTTGACTGTGAGGGAGTGCTGTGTCCCAGTGAGCACCAAGGCCACAGTGCAGCCTGCCAGGAGCTGGACTGAGGACAGGGCAAGGCAGGCCAAGACCCTCTGCCTGGCCCAGGGCCCTGGATACCCCCCTGGGCCCTGCGCTCGCACCTCTGTCCCCACGTCTCTGTCCCTCCTGCCTGCGGCCAAGGGCAGTGCTGACTTGCAGCGGTTTCCCAGGGTGTTCAGGGGCTACGCGGAGAGGAAGCGCCGGAAACGGGAGAATGATTCCGCGTCTGTAATCCAGAGGTAGGGCCTGCCAGCCACTCGCCACCAGGGTCCGTCTCTTGTCTGTGCTGCTCTGGCCTGGGCATACCTGGCCCCGGCAGACCCGATGGGGAAAGGGCGGTGGCGACCACTGGCCTGGCCCTGCTCTGGGGACGCGGCAGGCAGGAGAGGTCATGTGGCCTGAACCCCTAGGCCTGTTTTGGGTGCACATTGACAGTTAAACTGCAGCCAGCTGGCCCATAGTGTCTGTCTCTGGTCCTTGAAGCCCAGAGCTGTGGGGTCAGTGGCAAGGCTTACCCTCTCCAGTCCAACCTCAGAGATGTGTCCAGGGAGCCTGTCCGTACGTCTTGGACACTGGGCCTTGGCAAGGCACAAAGTTTGGGGGCAAAGAAGACCTGCCTCTGAAGTGGCTCAGGGACACGGTGCAGGGGGGAGGAGGGCTCGTCTGCAGGCCCCAGACCGACCTGTGGGTGTTGCAGACAGTTGTGCTGCCCTGCCTAGCGGCTGAGTGCAGCAAGCAGGAGCCCTTCACCACTGCGGCGGGAGGCTGGCAGGGCTCAGCCTGTGCCTGGGCCCGAGGAGGGAATGCAGGGGTGGGTGGTGGCGGGGGCCGCCTGAGGGCAGGAGAAGTTTTGAGATGCGGGGTGGGGCAGCAAGAGAAGGCTTGGCCATCGTGCCTTTGTCCTGGCAGCAAAGGGGAGCCCTGGAAGGGTCTCTAGGAGAGGGACTGGGTGGGATTTGCCTCTGGGTGGGCGGTGGGCCAGTGGGAAAGCGTAGGGGCGCGGGGACGAAATTACTGAAAGGGGCAAGGACAGAGCCTCAAGCGCTGTCAGGGGCACTGGCGGGTGGGGAGCGTGGGGGACCCGGGCGCTGCTCAACCCCCTCGGGCCCTCACCGGCCTCCCGTGTTTCCTCCCCCAGGAACTTCCGTAAACACCTCCGCATGGTCGGCAGCCGGCGGGTGAAGGCCCAGAGTAAGACCCCAGCTCGGGGCGCGTTGTGGGGTGGGGGGCGCTGCTCTTGGCCGTCCGGGCTTCGCGTGCTGCTGCTGCGCAGGAAAGACCTGACTCCTGGCCAACCGCCCGGCACTCAGACCCCGCCCCCGGCCCCCCCCCCC